CCATAGGGTACTGCCAAAAGATATCGTTAAATATTTTAAAACTATTGATGTTAAGAAAACGGCAGACTTATGGGGGATTTCCGTTAAAATTATTTTATCTATAATAGATACATTAGCACCTTATCTAGCCACTATATTTAATATAAGCGTCGAATCTGGTGTGTTTCCTGATTTAATGAAACATAGTAAAGTCATACCTATATTTAAATCTGGTAGTACATTAGACCCCGCCAATTTTAGACCAATTTCTGTACTACCAACATTAAGTAAAATTTTTGAAAAAATTATTTTAGATCAGATGTTAAGTTTCTTCAATATTAATAAATTGCTACATAAAAATCAATTCGGTTTTACAAGGGGTCGCTCGACAACTGACGCTGGAGTTGAGCTTATTAAACATATTTTTTGTGCATGGGAGAATTCAGAGGATGCTTTGGGTATATTTTGTGACCTTTCCAAGGCCTTCGACTGTGTTCACCATGAGATATTAATCAGGAAGCTACAGTACTATGGTGTCAAGAACACAGCGCTTAAACTTATTATTTCATATTTAAGTAATAGAAAACAGAAGGTTATTATCAATGGTAAAAGTTCTTCCGGGTCACCTGTACTAATGGGTGTTCCTCAGGGCTCGATTCTCGGCCCATTCCTGTTTCTGGTGTACATTAATGACTTACCTCACCTTGTAGGGGATAGTCATGATATAGTATTATTTGCTGATGATACTTCCTTGATTTTTAAACTTAAACGTCAATCATTTAAATGTGACGAAGTGAATAATGCTATATCAAAATTAGTGCATTGGTTTAACGTTAATAATCTGCATTTGAACGGAAATAAAACTAATTGTGTTAAATTTACAACAACGAATGTTAAAAATCTTAATACCAATGTGTTTTTAAATGGGGAGGAATTGACCCCTGTTGTATCTACTGTTTTTCTTGGCATCACTCTTGACGCAAAGCTACAGTGGGGCCCGCATATATCCAAATTAGCAAGCAGACTAAGTTCTGCAGCCTATGCTGTAAAAAAGATTAGAGGTCTCACTAGTGTCGAGACAGCTAGATTAGTTTATTTTAGTTATTTTCATAGCATAATGTCTTATGGGATTTTGCTATGGGGAAATGCGGCTGATTCAGAAACTATTTTTGTTTTACAGAAGAGGGCCATTAGAGCTATTTACAATCTAAAACCGAGAGAGTCCCTTAGAGATAAATTTAAAGAAATTAATATATTAACTTTGGCCTCTCAGTATATTTACGAAAATTTAATGTATGTTCACAAAAACAAAGATAGTTTTAGTAAAAGAAGTGATATACATTTTGTAAACACTAGGAACAAACACAAGCTAGTGATACCAGTTTCTCGACTCCACAGAGTCAGTAATTCATTCTTGGGGCAATGTATACGCTATTACAACAAGGTCCCGGAAAGTGTACAGGTTCTCTCTATTACCAAGTTTAAATGTTTTATTAAGCTGAAACTGTATAAAAAGGGTTATAATAGTATAAATGAATACATGGTTGATAATAACCCCTGGGAATGAGGTGATCGCTTCCAAGCAGTTTCTAAAATAAATTTTGTAAATAGTTCGTAATCATTTATATTGTAAAATTTATTTAAAAAAAAAAAGTCCCGCTGGGTTTCTTGCTGGTTCTTCCCAGGACAGAGGGTTTTGTTCGAACCAGTGGTAAAGTAAAAAACGACTTTCAATAAGAATTACACATGTAATGTATATTGAATAAAAAATATTCTATTCTATTCTATTCTATTCATCTGTCAATTAAGGATATATTTAGGTTTCTATGGGTCACAACAACCACTCACCATCAGGTGGATTGTGTGCTCGTTTGTCACTCTTTTATAGAAAAATATGTGTATAATTGACTTAGCAATTGGTAAGCCTGATTAAAATTTGGGTATAATACATTACTTGATATGTTATCAGGCATATTAGCCAGTAATATTGAACACCTGCAGAATCAGCGATATAATTGCAGACATAAGAAGGTTTACAACTGGCTTTAATTTTATTTTATAACTTGTAGTCGCCTATGGGCCGCAGTATCAACTTATCATTGCTATTAGGTGGATTCTTTACTAGTTGATCACCTTGACTTCGATAAAAAATACCTATCACTTTTTTTGGATCTATGAAATGAATTTTTGTTACTTTATTAATTACTGTCCGAACTCTCCGAATCTTTTTTTTAAAGAATAAGTGTGATAAACGAGCACAAAGTCCACTTGATGGTGGGTGGTTGCTGTGACCCATAGACATCTCCATCTATCTTCGTTTGCGAATTAAAATGCAGATGTGTTGTCAGTGTCAGAGTATTCTGTGAGAGCGTGGTCCTTCTCCGGTCGAACCGACCCATTCGTGCTACAACTATACTATTAATATAGCTGCAGCATGGCTCTACCACGTATAATCTACGTTTTTACCATTCTAAGTCAGTGCTTGACTACTATCCCACGTAATGATAGGTGGTAATATAGTCAAAGATGGCGGTGCGCACTTAATTAATAAAAGCCTATTCACTCTTGCCTTGAAGACACGTACATTGTTATCAGATGGAAAGGCAAACGTTGAAGTAAATCGTTTGCTTCGAATGCGTGGGTTCACCAACAAAAGGGTTGAGACTGGCTTTCTTACTTACTATCCAAACTAACTATCCGCATCTTGGCGTATGATGGTATACGCCGTATGAGAATCCATCACACATTTCATCTGGTTGGTCTCGTAAGATGCGACTTTGTGCAATTGAGAAGAATCTTATGGCGGCCGATAGATGACCTTATAACCATCTTGTTTACGCCAAATAAAATACCCAGACCGATGACGGGCAGCGTCGTCAAATGTGTTCACGTCTGGTACTGTGATCGTCAACTTGCAGCAGAGCGTGACGGTTAAGGAAAATTCTCCCTAACAGGAGTGGCTCACGGCCTTCAGTTGATATTAACGGGTTCACGATAAAGAAGAAGAACTTAATTGTAACGCTTGGCAGACGACGTGACGATGTTTTTCCATGGTAGAGCCATACTGCAACTATATTATAGTTGTAGCATAAATGGGTCGGCTTCACTGTGGAAGGATCACGTTCTTACAGAATACCAGCGTGAAATAGCAGCTTAATACTGCTGTGTTTCTTATGCTGAGTGTAGACAACCAGAGACCAGATATACGAGGCATTCCATCTCAGTACTGAGGTGGGTCAATGCATCTGTATTATGATTCTTAATTGAGGGTAGATAGAGATGTCTGTAGGCCATAGCATCCATTTACCAGCACGTGAACTGTGTGTTCGTTTGTTACCTTTATTCTATAAAAAAACGAATTGATGGTTATATCAGCATCTGTCAGATTCCATAAGGTATTTCTGGCATTTCCCATAATAGCTTTTTAGGACACCTACTGTACCTAAAACATACGGTGGTGAATTCCCTTACGCCGCAACCACACGCTTAAAATTCATCTCATTTTTAAATTATTGCAACATTCTAGCTTAAGCTCACACATTTAAAACATATCACCTACTCTTGTATTCCGGACTTAAAAAATATTACAAATAAATATATCTGTCCACTCTAATCCCTTCTTAGTGATTGGCCGATATCAAAATTATCGGTAAATCAACACAATCTTCATAGATAGTTACATTCTTGCTTTAATAGGATAATCATATTCTAACAATGATAGTTGTTGTAGAATTGTAGTTTTAAAACAAATTTGTTTTCTAAAATTAAAAAAATTAAAATGGAATACGGGATCTTTTTTATTATAATTGGTAAGTGTATTACATTTTTTTTTACTGTTTACCTGTGCTTCTAGGTTGGTAGCACTCTCAGTACACACTGTTGTATTTGATTTTACGGTATTCATCAATAAGGGCTAATAATTTTCTGCTCACCAGATGTCGCTAGTTGACACTGAAGTAAAGTTTTTTGTTACACAATGTCATTTAAATGAGAAGTTAGTTTTTAATAAAAGTTTATGAGTTTCTAGACTATTATATTAATACAGAAAACAATGCCAATAACTTTGTAAATTTTTCTACTTTTATGAACATCTGTGGTTTGGTTTATTTATTTTTAATCTTATTAATATGAAATATAGCTAAAAATAAAGAAACACTAAGCTTTACATTTTTCGAACAAATTAACTTCCCTGCTATGAAATCTGTCAAACATTATACCTCACTTTCTAGTGGCGCCGCCCTGGTGACAGAATAAGTCGTGGAAGCCCTTATTCTACACATTTCATACAGCACATGTAAATTGAACACGTGCGAAGCCGTTGCTAGTAATATTATAAATGTAAAAGTTTGTTTATTACGCTTTCACATAAAAACTACTATATGAATTTGGATGAAAGGATTTCTTCCTGATAAAAGGATCCATACCAGACGAACGAAGTCGCGGACGTCTGAAGCTGGTAAAAATAAACCAACGGCTTTACGTACCTACTTTCCAAAGCACGGTGGAAAAACACCGATAACTTCCTGACCGTGGATTACTTCTGAGAATTTCTTGACAGAAGAACTTAATACACAGATTCGAACCCGGGTCTTCCTTATCAGCAGCCGAATATAATACCACAAGACAAGTATGGCAAATATCCCTTATAAGGCAATGAATGTTTAATTTATATAATCAACAGTGGACTTTTGATACGCTATAATGAATACCTTTATCACTAGTTTAAAAATGAATTGTAGACGGCTCCGTGGCGCAGTGGCTTAGCGTTTAGCAATGATTTGCAAAGCTGGGGGCCGCGGGTTCGAATCCGGCACGGAACAAGTATTTGTATGGCCTACAAATAATTGTTCCGGGTCTGGATGTGAGATTAATGTATGTAAACTGCATCTACGATACAGGAGAAAATTCTAATGTGGAGGTAAAGTTTTTTAAAAGGAAAGAAAAAAGAAAAAATAAATAAATGTTGCTCCTTAGGTATCACCATCCAGTCGCAGTCAACGTCAGCGATCTGGTCCTGCAACCTGGACTCCGAGTGCTCCAGTCTTTCTGGCAGCGTCTGTGTGGGCGGAAACTGTGTCTGTGCACCGGGTCAACAACCTGTACTGGGTGGGACGATCTGCGCTGATCGTGAGTATGATGATATTATGTTTATCAACGCTGATCCCTCCCGCTCCCTGGCACTATCGGACAAGATGCACTAGATGTTTTTCTAAAGAGAGAGAGAAATACCAGTCTCTATCCTTTTGTTCTCGATATACCACGCATTCGAACTAAACGGTTTGCTTCATCGTTCATATTGCGCACAGCAAAGGAGTGGAATAATTTGCCAGCACTGTAGAAGAAGAATAGAACTGCAGTCTACTTTGGCAGACAATGTCTGCCAAAGTAGACTGCAGTTCTTCAAAAACACTTTTTGTTGAAAATGTTTTCAGACAAACATATTTAATAAACCTAGCAAGCTAACAGCATAGCAAAGTGGCGAAGCAATCAGCTTTGTAGCGGTATCTAACGGTTGCCGTTGAGCAATCAGTTTCAAAATAGGAGGTTCAGATGCCTGGGTGATCAGTAATGTAAGTGGAGAAGTTAAGTGGCGAAGCTTGCGAAGTCACTTATTGATTTCACGATGTCTGTTCGTCCGTCCGTCGGTCCGTCTGTACGTCTGTCCGTCTGTCCCACGATTATCTCGAGAACGGTTTCGAATTTTCAAATTCTGTTTTCAGCAATCGATTACTGATCACCCAGGCATCTGAACCTCCTATTTTGAAACTGACTGCTCAACGGCAACCGTTAGAAACCGCTACAAAACTGATTGCATCGCCACTTTGCTATGCTGTTAGCTTGCTAGGTTTATTTAAACTATAATACAGGAGCAGCAAACCGCCGCCGATCAAGTTCCCGCCAAAACTCCACCGCCAAATTTGAAGTTTGAAAAAAAAATGGCTATAGTTTTTAATTTAGTTTTTTCTGGCCTTGGATACTAACGAATCAATCTAAAAAAATAGAACGTATTTCTATAACTCATTGATAAGTGTCTTATACCAAAAACTTATTTTTATTTTAAATTTTCTTGCAAATAAATGTTTTTTTCTTCCTTTTTTTATAGACGTAAGGGTAACAAGCGAGCACGCAGTCGACATGATAGTAAATGGATGTTGCGGCGTTGCGGCCATAGACACCAATACTCTATTAAAAATCAAAATGCAAATATTTTTAATCCTGAAAAATTGCCTCGTTGCTAATAAAAAGGTCCAATTAGCATTGCACGTGGCTCTAACACGTATAGTATTCCTATCATACAATGTTAGTAAGTTTAAAACGCTTGTGTAAGAACAGGTTACCGAAACAAGTCGAATGTTGGATTTAAACACATTACTTTAGACGGCTCCGTGGCGCAGTGGCTTAGCAATGAGTTGTTGCGCTGGGGGCCGCGGGTTCGAATCCCGCACCGAACAAATATTTATATGGCCTACAAATAATTTTTCCGGGTCTGGATGTTTGTCCTCGTGCAATTTATGTTTGCAAACTGCCTCTACGTAACAGCAGAAAATCCTAGTGTGGGGGTAACGTTTTTTTTTAAAAAGAATAAAAAAACCTATCAAGTTCACGATCCATTCTAACCATCAAGATACTGTTGTTTGAAATTAAGTTAGTCGTCATTTTACGTAGTAGAAGGAGGCACAAGCCAATGATGTCGGGGCTCAGATAGTGTGCGAAAGCGTTCACGTAGCCCCAACACGATTTTTATACGTGGTAGAGCCACGCTGCAGCTATATTAATAGTATAGTTGTAACACGAATGGGTCTGCTCGACCGGGGAAGAGCCACTCTCTCACAGGATACGAGCGTAAAATAGCAGCTTAATGCTGCTGTGTTTCGCATGGTGAGTGTAGAGAACCGGAGACGATTTTTACTGGAAAATAGGTGTTCTATCTTAGTCCTCACGGCTGACGACACATCTGCATTTTAATTCGCAATCGAAAATAGATGTAGATGTCTACGGGCCACAGCAACCACTTACCATCAGGTGGACTGTGTGCTCATTTGTCACCCTTATTGTATAAATAAAACTTTTTTAAGAAGAGAAAATAATCATGAGGCTCAACTGTGGTATTGATCGTTGCCGGTTTTTTAGAAGTCAGTATAAAAAATAACCGTGTAGTGGTGGTGTGAGAACATCCATATCGTTCCGTGGGTGTCGTAAAAGGCGACAGAGGAAAAATTAAACTGGGGATGGGTACCAGCATGTTCCCGATAACATTTCAAAATAATAAAAAACTGCAGTTGCCAACCCGCTTGCCAACTATGGCAAATATCCCCCATATGAGGCAATCCATGGGGTAGGCCTATGTTCAGCAGTGGACTTTTATAGGCTGTAATGGAAGTATGTATAGAAGATAATCTACCAGGAGCACATGGCCCACTGAGAGGTGGAATTATTAAATCAACAGTAACATTACAACTATGGCAACATTCTTCATATGAGACAATCTATGGGGGAGGCCTACTTATAGGCTGTCATGGATGGATGTATAGAAGATAATCTACCAGGAGCACATGACCCACTGAGAGATGGAATTATTAAATCATCAGTAACATTACAACTATGACAATATCCCTCCTATAAGACAATCTATGACTCGGCCTACGTTCAGCAGTGGACTTTTATAGGCTGTAATGGATGGATAAAAAATGATATATCTTTTTATTTTCACAGTGGCTCCATATTTCACGTCGCCTTGCTTAGAAGATCATCAGTGCTTCAGACTTTTCAACAACTACGAGTGTCAACGAACAGACGACAGTGCAGGTACGTTTTAAATGTCGAATAGACAAATAATGAACTATAGAGTTCTAATATATTTACAAGCTGTGACAACACCGGAAGGAAGTTACCGTGGAAAATTTTTTTTGGAACGAAGTTCCTTATTGCACGGTAGAAATTTGACGGATGGGGCTAGGCCAGTAATAGTGTAAGAATTTTAAAACCTATTACAAGCCTATTGTTAATAATGCTCTCACAAAGACAGCATTGGCATTTTCCAAAGTTTACTCTTACGACATCTTCGGGATGAATAGAATAGAACAGAACAGGACAACGGAACAGAGAAGAACAGAACAGTACAGAATACAATAAAATTCAATACAGTACAAAAGAATAGAATAGAATGGTATAATGCATTTTTTTATTTAGTTGAGTATTAATATGTAATTCTTATTAAAAGTCATGTTTTACTTTTATCACTAGTTTGAAAAAACCTCCCGTAGGAGGAACCTTCAAGAAACCCAGCATTACGTTTTAAAATCTGTAATTCGCACTCGTATCAAGGACTAATGACAATACAGTAATTATTATCTTTATTCTAGTACCATGATGAGCATCAATAGGATAAAATAAATAATCGCCTAAGGATCAATGCGTGTTATTTAGGTTTATCTATATATTTTTCAAAAAAAATTTTTTTTTTTAAATATAGCCCAGATCCCACCTGGCCTTCTTCTCTATCTGTTCGTAAAGTATAAGATTAGACAGACATTCCATCTTTGTCCTCATGGGTGGTAATGCATCTAAAATTTTTTCTTAATCGAAGATAGACGTAGTTTTTGTCTATGAGCCTCAGCATTCATTTACAATCAGGTAGACTGAGTTCTAGTTCGCTTATACTTTCCTAGTTCCCTTATTCTTTAAACAATCTTAGAAACAAGCAAAGACAGCCCAGGCCTCTGCTATTCCTGAGAGGATTAGGAGACTGTAAATGGACCACATTAAAGATATATTTTTTTGGTTTATTTTCTTTGTGACTCACTAACTTTATATATCGTCTGTTCCAGTAGGGATTTGCGGCTGTAAAGCAGGCCATCATTACCTCCGCGGCAGATGCTGGAGCTCCTCGGACTACGGGGAAGCCTGCGCCAGAGATGAGGAGTGCTTGGGGGAAATAAGGGATCCTTACAGCATGATTTGCAATGGAACGTGTACCTGTGCCGATGGCTATTATTTGCGGCAACGAGGCGAGTGCAGGAAGGTGGGATTGGGTAAGGTTTCTCTTTTTTCTACCACAAACGTAAAGTAACAGAATGTGTTGTTATTGTCTGGTATTTGTATGGTATTCTCATCTGGTAAATGTTACAGCTTATGTACTTCTCACTGCTGGGCACAGGCCTCCCCTCACTTCTGGGAGGTACACTGGTTGGGCTGTATAAATATACAAAAGAAAATGTTAAATATACGTAAATATACATTAAACACAATAAAATAAATAAATAACAAAATACACGAATAAATATAAACCCAACCAGACGGAAGCCCTCAGCAGGGGAGACTAAACAGCCGAGGGTGGGAAACTTGCGGATGATGCGGGCAGTATTGGGGAGCACCGCCTTCAGCGTTTGAGCCCGGAGCGGTCTGTCACGGAGTTCCAGTCGCCCCGGGTGACCCGAGGATCTTTCCGTTCTATATGTTCTATATATGTGTCGGAGCGTCTATAAAATACAGGTTGAATAGAGGTTATATCGAGAAACCGCCAATTGTTTCTGCAGTATGAAGTTCACTGTAGGTACGGTGCCAGGGAGATCCGCTTAAGTCATTCTACTATTGTTAAGATAGTGTCGGGGTTCTGTTCGTTGTTGTAATTCTTCTAGTGCAGGCAAGGCGGATGGTGTTGCTGAGAGGCTGCCCTATGTTACACTGAGATAAGTAGTGTTGCTGTTAGCTTGCATACTTTGGTGTTATCATGTAATTACGTAAGGCACATTACACTGGTGTGTGATTGTGACGGGGACATATTACGGTTGGTGGACTTGTTTGCTCTATGCTGAATGTGTAGTGCAGTACACTGTCTCATTCCTGATAATGATTAATTACGTGAGCAAGAGAGCAAGTTGAACATCCGCTCTCACAATTTTATTATTTTTAACAATTAATGCTATCCTTATGGGTTTACGAGATCACAAGTTAGATCTACTTAATTTTCGAGATCAGAAGTGGGATCCTCTATTGAATTTCCGAGATATATATTTTTAGAATCTATTCCACTTCTGAAGTTACAAATTATTCTCAAAAGTATGTAAATAAAAGAACACCTCGGTAACAAACCCTGCTCACTATTAGGACCTCAATTACATGATAACACCAAAGTATGCAAACCAACAGCATCACTACCCATCTCAACGTAACAGAGCAGACTCTCAGTTCACGCACCTAGTTGCCCAGAGTAAGGTCTACCAGACAGGGGCCCATTAAGCTGTTAGGTTTGACGAACAACTAGGACGGAGCCCAAGTGGGCTTATGGAAAATGTTCTATCCTACTACACTTTAATGGAAAGGCTAGTCAAATAAAGAGTACTTACCTGTATCTGAGGCGACGACTGTCTCAAGGTTCGGTCAGGACGGAGGTGTGTGTGTGCATGTGTAGTGGTGTTTTTAGTGGTGTGGATTGTGGTTGACCTGACTGGACCGTTGAAGTCGGCAGCTACCCGGACTCCGGCACCGCTCCAAATTATGGTAATCTCCAGCGGCGTCACCCACGGTCAATTTCTTTCTTCTTCACTATGTCAGTCTATTAACTTTATTGCACATTTAACTAACTTCCGGCAAAACAACAACAAACAAAACGCAACTAAATCCCGTTACTTATAATCAAAAACGTAACACACTGCACACAGCACGAATACCCAATGTTCGGATCAAAGGTCACTTCCGTTTCGCGTGGCAACAAATTATTTCTAGAACCTAACACGACCTTCTCTAGTGTCACAAAGTTCAGCGTTCAACCGACAACGGAAAATGTCTCCGAACTATATCAAATGCCGCATGAGCAAATTAATATTGTCACTTATATACGCTATCAAATTAGAATAACCAAATTCGCGGTACATTAGGCGCGCATAACCCACAAATTCAGACGTTGATCGCAATCAATGTTAACTTCCTAACAATTTGTCAACCCGGCGTCTAATTCTAGACTACAATTCCTCGTCGTTGCACAATTTGCTAACAAAACCGACTCTAAAAAATGGAGGTTATCCCAAGCGACTTCACGACGTGCTATCGATAGCACTGCATTCAAGCAACTCACGTTCTGCGCTCGCGCCCTCTGCCAATCCCACTCCGCTCGCCCGAGCGTCAAAACCGGTATGGTACCGAGCCGAGCTCCCTCTGGCGTCAAATCTTGAAACCAGCGTTTGGGCGCGAACAAAAACTTAAGAGAGAGGACCTAAGGCGATCTTATCGCTAAAAAGCGATCTCTTCCAGACTGCATTAAGATTGAGGGGAAAATTGTACTATTGAACATTGGGAGTAGGGTTGTACGCAGAGGCTTAGGTGTTCACTTATTTCTTGATGAACAGTGCATGTAGAGAATGACCCTGAACTCTTCCAACTAAGAAATGGGCTATCTCTATGGGATTGGACATATGTACATTCCTTCGCTATTAATTGTTCTGTACGTAGAAGTTGTCTAGAAGAATGCATTTTCAGAATACGTTAAATATGACTGACTACTAAAACACTGTGATAAATTTTCTTTCTATTTTGCTGTCTATGCAGATTTATTGTGTAATGAAGAATTAGGTATTTAATTCTATTTTTTTAAAGTGGTTGAACAACGATGCAGCTATATTTTTAGAGAATAAGGGTGACAAACAAGCACATCGTCTACCTGATGGTAATTTAATGCTCTGGACCATAAACATCTACATCTACCCTCGATTAATAATCAAAATGCAGAAACGTTGTCACCTCTGAAGACTAAAATGGAATGCCTCGTTACTACTCCAGTTCTTTACACTCACGATACTAAATACTGGAGCATTTTTTTGCTGTTACACGACGGTATTCTGTGAGAACATAATCCTATCCCAGTTGCAGCTATGTATAGCTAGTATAGCTTTACCATGTATCTCTACCATCATCACTCTACATTGAGGATAAATGTAGATGTCTATGAGTTACAGCAGCCACTTAGCATCAGGTGGAATATGTGCTCGTTTGTCACCCCTATTCTATCAAAAATATTCAGTTAATAATTAAGGAAACCTTGTTTATCAATGTCTCTAATAAAGAATACACTTGCAGCTGTAGGTGATGGTTGCGTGCTGAACGAGGATTGCCAGTTTCCCGGAGGTGCTTGTGATCAGGCAAATTTTGCTTGCTACAACGTTAACGGTAAGCAATTAAACAGATTTTCATCAAACTCGATCCGCAGTACCGCAGGGGTCAATTACTTGCTAAAAGGAACTCAATCCTGACACCACAAATTTATTAATTGTAATTAAAAGTGCTGATATACGTGCAGGGAGGTGAAGGAAAACATCGTGAGGATGCATCTCTGAAGAATGTTATATTTTGTATGGATAAGTCCCCCAACACCATAATATATATTTCTTTCGATTGTAGTGCACGTGTATGTGTGTGATGTGCACACTCTATTCCCTCACTCCCATAATCCGATAGAACGGCGATCCGATACGATCGGAGGACAGATTAGGTGTAGGAGCAAGGGCTTTACGTGCGTTTCGAGGTAAGGGGGTGAACTCTTCTGATTACAAACATTTCCTAATATCCCCTAGACCAAATTTCAATTATGGTAGCTTCAACTACCCATCTATGCAGGACAGAATTATAGTGCAAGCACAGGTGCAATCTCGTATTTCCTCACTTTCATCCAACTTGAACGCATAGAGATATTTTCGAGTCACGGAGTGAAACACCGTCAACTTCTCGACTCCGAGCTCCTACTGAGATTTTTTATTAACTCGCATTCGTGTTTTTCGGGTTGAATTTAGTAATTTATTTTAAATTAACTTCTTCAGATTTTGAACATAGCACAGAATCGGATGACAACATAAGAATATGAATATGAACAACGTGATATATTAACAACCATTTTACTGTCCCGTGACTAATATTATGAACATTTCGATTATTTAATAAATATTTACATTGTTTCAGATCCAAATTTAAATGAAACAACATTTAAGAAAGTCAGTGACAGCGGAAGCAACGTCATTGAAATGTATGACAACATGGCGTCGGAATTAAAACAAAATGGTGGCACAATTGCGTGTGGCGCTAACAACTCGTGTCCGGAACCGTTTGAGTGTTCGCCTTTCGGTGTCTGTATTTGTCCACTTGGATATTACAGTGGGGAAAATACAACATGCTTAGCTGGTAAGATATAATATATTTTTATAAAACTGAAGTAACATACGAACTTATAGTCACGTGATGGTAGGTCGCTACTACAGTCTATAAAATTATTTTTATACGTGTTAGAGCCACGCTGCAGCTATATTATGCTTGTAGCGCGAATGGGTCGGCTGTGATGAACCACGCTCTCACAGAAAACCAGCGTAAAATAGCAGATTAAAGGTGTTGATTCGAATAGTAGAGTATAGAAAACCGAAAATACTTTTAACTGCATACGAGACATTCCATCTTTGTCGTCAGGTGTGACAACGCATCTGCATTTTGATTCTTAATCGAGGATAGATGTAGATGTCTATGAGTTACAGTACCCACTTGAGTCACACTACCCACTTACGATCAGGTGGATTGAAAAACACCTGTAACTCACTTCAAACACAGAAGACTATTAAGATTCCTGGTCACCTCTTAGGACTTAGGTGAAATACTTCAGTCTGTAATTGTACTGGCTGGCTATTCTATACTGTTCAGAGTGGTACACTACACGCACTGCTGCTTGGCGGCATCATATAAAAGAGAGTTCCACCTTCCCAGAGGAACTCTTAGGCAGAATATGAGTCTGACCCCCCAGTAAACAATTCAAATACAAATTTAAAGTTTTTCTAACTCAAACTCTTTAAGGAACAAAACTACTTTTACTTCCCTTTTAAATTTCCAACGTTTCGGGCACTTTACAGCACCCATGCTCACGGGGGTCTGAGGTGTTTGACGAAACCAACATCACATGTGATACACCGACGCTCCGGGAATTCTGCAGTACGACAACATGTTCAGGATCGTCCCAAACATTATATCAGATTTGATAGACTACAAATCCTCGCAAAAGAACACCGATTCCTATCGAGGATGGTCATCAATCTGCCAAGCGTGACGGTTAAGTTGAATCCCTCCTATAAGGTGACAGGTCCATGTCAAGCAGTGAATTTTGACGAGCTCCAGAAGAACCCAGTAGATGAAACGGTTCCTATTCTGCCTAAGATTTTGTGCGTATCAGTAACTGAGTGATTGACGCACTTATATAATTCTGCCTTCAATTTGATGCCACACTGATTTTTTCCGTCTAAATGGTATGAAGCATTCTATCTTAGTCCTCAGGGTTGACAAAGTATGAACACGTTCATTTTTAATCGAGAATAGACGTAAATGTCTATGGGCCACTGTGTGCTCGTTTGTAAGCCTATACTATAAAAAAAATGGAACATTGCTGAGGTGGTTATTTTACTCAGCTCATGCTGCTGGTCGTTTACCTGAATTTGACATATAGACCAGATTAGGCCGACATCAAACACAAAGTTCTTGAAGTAGTTGCATCCACAGGACTGACCATCGCCACTGGTGACAAGACGTCTTGATCTTCTCAACACAAAATATATAATAATGTCTTCTAGAACGTTCTCGTCGGCCAGATTCAACGGAGTCTGCACAGAACATGATTATAGTGCACAAGTGTGCTCGCAAGCACATATGCACACTCTAATCTATACTACTCTGTTTCCTTATTCCCATAATCCGATGGGACGACGCGACGAGAGATTAGACGTAGAAACAACAGCTTCAAGTTCTTTCCGAGGCAAGGTAGTGCATCATCGCCAAATTTACTGACTCCATACTGCTAATTGCCGGACTGAAAATTTGTTGACCGAAAATTTCAATAAATCATTTTTCGGGATTCGTACCCGGGATTTCGTGATCACCAGTCGCGCTTACAACTACTACACTGACGATGCAGTCAATAATATTTAGAGAGCCAGTAGAATTATAGGATGTGAGGCATTCTTAGTACTTAGTGGTAACAACGCAGTTGTCTCCTTCTTTGTTTAAAGATTGTTGCAGGTGTCCATTGGCTGCAGAAAGCACGTACCATCAGGTGCATCGTTAATTCGATTTTCAATTATTATACAAAAATTAATGTCTTCTTCTATCAGAGCTTAGTTCACCGGCCACAGAAGATCAATGCAAAGGGCTGTTGGCGACGGTGGTGAATGGAGTCTGCACATGCCCACCAAATTTCTTCTTCGACGTCAACATGAGGGATTGTGTTAGAGGTAATATATAAATAGATAATTTTAGGTTTTAACGCATTTGCATTTTGTTTCCTAATCAAGAATAAATGAAAATGTATGTGGGCACATCAGCCACTTACCATCAGGTGGAGTGTGTGTTCGTTTGTCACTCCGATTCTATAAAAATATATTTAGTTAATCTTGTTTATATCCCTAGTAAAGTCTATGGGCCACAGCATGGTAAGGGGATTACCGTCAGATGGAATATTTTTATTTCACAGACATCAGGTGGTCTGTGCTGTTTGTTACCCTTATTCTATAAAAAAAGGATAACCTAATGTGGGCTTATTCACGTGATGGTGACGATGGTTATATATTTACTTTTTTCTATTTCAGTCACTCGTCGGTTCTCGGAGTCCTGTATAACTGATTTGAACTGCCACACCTTCGGAGCAGCTTCACGGTGTGGTCCACCACAAGAACCTTGGGGCATCAGGACCTGCGAGTGTATACCAGAGTTGGCTGTATGGGATTCTAACAGAGAGATGTGCCGATTGTTCGCTGGTAAGAATTTTTATTGATTTTGATGTTTTAACACATTTGTTTTTTAATTTAATTTCTTATTAAAGTTGTTAAAAAAATTACCTCGCGTACTTCCGCTCGATAAAATAAAATGATGTGTCTTACCTAGTTTGAAGAGCACCTCCCGCCCTCCCTCAATTGCGTACACTATCCCCGTCACCACTAATCCCAGCACCACTACTCCCAACACCACTACACTAGGTATGACACACCACTGACGACAATACGACACGTGTTTCGCCTCTACACGAGGCATCTTCAGGTGATGTAGACTCTGCGGTGGCTGACCGCTAAGTGGTTTCTTATTATTAATATTTATACTATTGACAATTATTATGACGCACATACAATGAAAGACGAAAGATTTCAAACAGGGAGGGTAGCACAGCCTCCAGAAAGCTTGCTTCCCCTTCCCCTCTCTAGAATAATGGAAAGTACAGTAAAGATCAAAACAAAAACGTAAAAAAAATATAAAAATGAGCATCAGAATTTTTAATTTAAATTGAATTGCCCAGGGAAAGACTACGCTCTCGTAGAACACTAGCGTAAAATTGCACGTGAGTGCAGAGAACCGGAAATCCTTTTTTCTGGAAAAGAGGCATTCCATCATAGACCTCAGGGGTGACAACGTATCTGCATTTTGATTCTTAATCGAGGATAGATGTAGTTGCAGATAGACAGATGAGGATTACGAAGACATTACTTTCGGCGTTTCGCATCTTCGACCGAAAGTTACTGGATTTATTATTACATGCGGTAGAGCCATGCTACAGCTATTTATTTATTTATTTATTTATTTACACTTTATTGCACCTTAATAAAAGGATTACAAACGAACTTAATGCCTTTAGGTATTCTCTTCCAGTCAACCCAGGACGTGTGGAAATTAAGTGATAGGTGACAAAATAAAATGAACAATAGAGTAAATCAAGGAAAAAACTCCTGATAAACTTAAAAATAAACTAATATTATATATATAAATTCAATAAACTTATATACTGTTACGGCCTACGGCTGCTCCCTTAAAGGATCCAATTCTCTGGGGCCCATGAGCAGAAGACTTCCCGAACAGACGTAGGTAGGGCCTCAATGTGGCCACGTGGAATCTCTCGAATTACACTAAAATATATGGGGGAGCGTTCTATACTACGGCCAGTCGACCGGCAGAGGAATTAGGCGGAGCTTGCTTACCTATATCCAAGGCGACTGGTCCCTCCGGAGTCGGTCAGGTCACATGTGGTTGTGTAGTGAAAGGGAAATAAGTGATGTGATGTGTATCTGGGTGTGACTGATGGTGATTGAACCTAGACCTTGGCCGTCGGCAGCAGCCCGAGCGTCGACATCGCTCCAACTTGAGGGGGCCTTCCGAGGTTGTCCACAGTCACTTTCTTCTTTCGTCACGTTGACAGTCAATTAACTCTATCGTACGATTAACTAACTTACTGAAGCCACTAACTATCGCTGCGTATAAGGTTACCGCACAAAACACGCACGGAGTTTCTGGGTCAAAGGTCACTACCGTTTCGCGTTGCAACAGTTAGTTCTAGAATACAGAGGCCGCACTAGCTAATATTGTCGAATGCACTTATACAGATTCTGAGTCGGACCCAATAAGTCCCGGGGAAGCTCTCCAGTAGGGATACGCGCCACAAAATTCCTAGACCGTATTTTTACTGTCCGCGCTTAATTATTCCGAGTTCCCGCGCTTAATTGGCAGCGTGCCAATCGTGAGCACTGCCTAAGGTCGACTGACTGCTGAGCCTTTTCACTCGCGACCCGCGCGCCACTGCCACGCGCGGCCGAACTTCAAACCAGTTCGCACCAAGCCGAGTGCCCTCTGGCGTCGATTCCGACAACAGAGTTTTGCGCGAACATATACTATAAAATATAATACAGACAATATATTATATTTACATACAAATACATAGATACATAAATAGATACATATTATAAATACAAATAGATATATAACATAATAAACCTATAAATAAAATAACAACAAAGGTAACCAAATTGACCATACTTACTATCATTAAAGTGCTTGTGTATCAATATTTTAAAGGCAGTCTTATTAGATGTTTTTCTGACGTCATCGGGCAAGGAGTTCCAGAGCAGTGCAGCCTGAATGGTGAAGGATTTACCAACAACATTAGTAGAATGTAGTGGGATACTTAGTTTATTATTATTATATGAGAACCGCAGAGTTGTATCATGCGTTGAGGAAATATACTGAAATTTCGAGATAAGAAGGATTGGATGGATCATTTAGGATAGAGAAGAGAACAGGCAAAATTCTAGAGTCACGCCTCTGTATAATAGTGAGCCATTTAAGGCGAGAGCGATAGTGAGAGATATGATCAAATTTACGAAGATTGAAAATTTATCTGACGCAATTGTTGAGTAGGCGCCCTAGCTTGTTAAGAAGATTTTGGTTTAAATCCGAGTAGCACACGTCAGCATAATCAATGATCGGTAGTATAAGTAACTGTACTACTTAAAGGGGAGAAAATTTTTCAAGCGATAAAGAGAACGTAAAGAACCAGAGACTTTACGACATGTTTCGGAGATATGAACCTATATAAAGCTATAATTAGTAGTATAGTTGTAGCAGGAATGGGTCGGCTCGACCGGGGAAGAACCACGTTCTCACAGGCTACCAGCGTCAAATAGCATCTTAACACTGCTGTGTTTCGTATGGTGAGTGTAGAGAACCGGAGATCCTTTTTACTGGAAAAGAGGAATTCTATCTTAGTCCTCACGGGTGACAACGCATCTGTATTTTGATTCTTTATTGAGGATAAATGTAGATGTCTATGGGCCACAGCAACCACTTACCATCAGGTGGACTGTGAGCTCGTTTGTCAACCCATCCTATAAAAAAATCGTAACAAATTTTATTATCTCAGTTGTAACACTAGCTAGTAGCTACACCATAGTAAATATTAAATAACTAGCGATCCATCCCGGCTCCGCCTGGATAAAATCTATTAATATGGCGTTATTTACATTTATGAACATCAAATACCATTTTATACATTTGTCGTTTTTACAAAAATATTCTTCAATTTTTTTCGAATAAAATATAGCCTAGCTCACTCTTGGTATTGCAATCTGTCTGTTCGTAAAGTTTCACCACAATCGGTACAACCATTTCAAATATTAACCCGGACAGACAGACAGACAGACAAACATTTTAAAATTGTTATTTACTTTTTAATGGCACGCAAATAACCCCTTGACCTTAAAAGAAGCCAGTTATTTCAACATTACAGACAGACACTTCAATATTATTTATATGTATGGATTAAACAAGATAAAACAAAAAAGCACCAAACAAAATAGCCTTCAAAAGATTGGTCCGGGAACATGTCTAAAAAACAATGTCGTCCTTTATCCTTTATCCAGACATATTATGTATGTATGTATATATGTATTTATGCATGTGTATATGTATATATGTATTAAGGATAATTGTTATATATGGATTACTAGCTGATCATGCAGACGTTGTTCTGTCCTCTGCGACATCTCTGTGTCCTATAAAAATTCTGAAATTCGTAATACAAAATATAAAAAATATCCTATCTGTCAAGTTGGACCAAACTGAACACAGTGTGCAAAATTTCTTTGAAATCAGTTCAATATTTTAGGAGTTCATCGTGGACAAACAACGTGACACGTAATTTTTATATATAAAGATTATGTATTTATTTGTGTTGTGTTTGTGTTATTTGTGTATTCATATGCATTCGTGTAGTTAATAAGCTTTATTTTAATTTGTTTTACATCTATATAAATTTATTATATTTAGTTACATAAATCACCTGCCACTAGTTCTAGCTCACCACGCCATGGGTTGACTGGCAGAGAATGCTAACTAGCATTAAGTCCGCCCTTTGTAAACTTTTTATTGGTTAGATCAATAAAGTTTTTAAATAAATAAAAAAATAATAATTAACGGTATATATTGCCGTTTTCTTAACCTAGCGGAATCGTTTTTCGAAACGCTATTATCACTTAACGGCCGAGTGCTACAATGGGTCGAAAGTGAGCAGGTGATGACTTGAAATATATTGAATACATAATTTTAATGAAACTTCCTTTGTCTCTTGTCTACAGGTCTAGGAGAAACATGTGAAGTGGACAGTGACTGTCTGGCCGGAGAGTTGGAGATCCAATGCGTCAAGGACCAAGCTGGACAAGGCTACTGCACTTGCCCTGAGGGGCTGGAGGCTGTGGACGGACTCTGTCTGACAACAGGATTGGGTAATGTGAATGATTGTGATGCCAGTTTACAATCCGATACCGTTACCGTTAGATTCCACTGCTGAACATAGGTCCCATAGATTGCCTCATAGGGGTGATATTTGCCATAGTTGCCACGCTAGTCGGCAAACGCAGTTTTTTATTTTAGTCGTTAGGAAGCCGCTGCTGCCCATTTCCTAACTTGGTTCCATCTGTCGCCTCTTACGACACTCACGGGATGATATGGGCTAGTGGATATTCTTATACCTCCACTGCACGGTAACCAATTTATGTTCCATAAATTGGTTATTTTTTTATTAAGTTGATTGCGTGTTTTTTAATCTATCAATTAATAAATTTGTGTTTTCCAGAGCTTGGCGAGTCGTGCCAAGTGAGCGCGGAATGTACCGGCACTCAGCACACTGTCTGCGAAGGAGGAAGGTGCTCCTGTGGAGATGGCTATCAGGAGATTGGGAACATTTGTGCCCCCGGTAAGTTTACAACATTTTTTACGTGGTAGAGCCAGCTCGGTCGCAGACTGAAATTTCGGAGGAGGTCACTAATAATAAAATATGTCGAGTAAGTTAGACTTTATTGCACAATACACAAGTTTATTGCACACATTATAAAACAAATGAAAATTTTATTTTTATTTTTATTGGCAAATTGGGTGACAATATTTGAGACGTCCGGGCCTATTTCTGGACGAATATTTAGAAGAGTTTGCTGTCAACCAAGTATTTACATGCCTTAGCATAGAAAATAATCTCTCTGCACCGTTTATAGGAAGAGTTGACAGAATTTTCAGCAGTCTTTATATTTGGGTAGAGATCATCGTCGCAAGCATCGATTGTAGAAACCACACACTTAGGAAACTCTATATCAGTATTTTCTTTGAGTTCCCTTTTCCAATTTGAAATCTATGGCTGATACTCTATAACGAGAGTGGCAGCACGAACACTCAAGAAATGGAAATAACATTCTGTCAACAACGTCGGGAATTTAAAAATAAGAATAATTAAACGCGATAGAATCCGTAAAAGTAGTTTTATACAATGTCCGCGTAAATATAAGAAATCATAACATTCTGATACTTTCTTCTCATTAAGAAGATCTTCTTCTTTATATTAAGATTTTGGCATAAAAATACCTAATCCGAACAGGTTCATCGTATCCACAGAAAGTCGGTCCTGTAGGTCAGTCATTGTGCTATCTATCAGTGCAATATAAATAGTCTTCCGTAAATATTCCTCGTCATTTCCTTGATAATTATCGCGAAGTGTATGTCAGTAATTTTTAGATTTTTCAATTTTTCGTGTACTATTTTGGAGGGGGGAGGTCATGTCCACTATATTCATTCCATTCATGTTAAGCATCCATCCCCGCAACAATTATAGTGGGAACGACGTTTTGCCATTTTGATTTATGAAATAGATAAGTAATATACACATTATTCTTAAATTACGTTAAAACTTTTTCAAGTATTTTATCCTACAATTAAATATACTAAACACAAAACAAAAACTATTTCGGCGAGTATTTCAACAAGTATTTAGAAAAAACTATTTACGTCAACAGCGTTTAAAAACTTTAACATTCGATCGTTATTTAGCTTGCGTGCACGATTTTTCTGATTAATAATAACTATGTAGGCTATTAAAACGTCGGCAAGCAGTCAACATCAAAAGAGTGCAACTTCTGTACGTAGTACCATTATTTATTCTGTGATTCAATTGCAAAGAATGCGCTAACCCCGACTGCGTTCTATTCCGGGGGCGCCTCGCGATTGTAGGTAAATATTTCACGCAGGTAGCAAGAGTGACACACGCCTGCTTTGAGTCTCTTTAGGAACGTTATATTCATAAACTTGTGCATACATTTTTTTTCATTGACTAAAGAACAACATTTATTCTTTTTAAAGCATACAGCATAAGATATGAAAAAGTACTTATAGGAAGAATACAAATAAAACGCAGTATTAAATATATTAAGAGAACCATAAAAGTAATAACGTGCTAGAACAGACACCGTGAACAAAACCTATGTGGCAGTGCGTGCTAACGCGTGTTGCAAACGGCCAAGTCTCGACGCCTCTTCTAGTACGTAGTACATACTCGTATTGCTTTAATGAAGAAAACACACAAAATATCGTCTTTGGGTTTTGGTTTAAGGTAAAACAGTATAACTACAGGCTGTGTGGGATATTCCCAGTAAGTTCCATGCGCTAGCCCACCCTAGAAAGCCAATGAAGAGAGATCTCATGAAGGAAAGTGAATGTAATCCGTAATCTCACAAGTGTATCTCATTATTTTCATCCATAATTAGGTTATCAAAAGCATGTGGCGACTATTCAGTTAGCTGGCTCCCACCCCTCCCCAAGAAGATAGTTAGTTACGCCTCCTCTTTAATTACGCCAATGCTTAGTCTTCAGAGTTGATAACGCACCTATTACCGTTTCATTTTAATTTAGTTGCTGGTGTGCACTTATGAGGTAGGTATTTCTTTATAGAATATGGGTGATAAACGAGCGCACAGCCCACCTGGCGGTAAATGGATACTGTGGCCCATAGACATCTACAATTATCGTCCACAAAGAATCAAAATGCAGATGCGTTCTCACCCATAAGGACTAGATGGAATGCCTTATTTCCAGTAAACAGGGTCTCCGGTTTCACTACACTCACACGAAACACAGCAGCATTAGGCTACTATTTCACACTGGTATTCCATGAGAGCATGGTCATTTCCCGGTCGAGCCGACTCATTCGTGCTTCAACTAAATATTAATACTTAGCAACAAAACCCAACAAACAGCACCACGTAGGCGACTGCTAACTCTAGAGTCTATGAGCCACAGCGCCTTTTCATTTTAATGACTTGATGAATGAAGTTCCCGATGAGTTGATACTTTAATTTAAACATAACTCAGAACTTAAAATATGGTAAAAATGGTTGCCATTTTGAAACCTGCATGTCTGACAAATAAGAAAAAAAAATATTTCGAAGACGTGTGAAGTTCGCCAACACGCATTGGGGCAGCGCGGAGGACCTATCCTTGCCCTAAAACCCTCTCAGAAATGAGAGGAGGCCTGTGCCCAGTAGTAGGACGTGTATATAGGCTGTAACTTTACCTTACTTTACTCTTTGAATTATTACAGTTATCGGTGGTACCTGCTTCCAAGACGCGGACTGCGCAATCCCTGACACAATTTGCCAGGATAATAACGGCTCACTTACCTGCCAGTGTAAGGACTCCTTCGTGGAATATGACGACGAATGCTGGCCAGGTTAGATTTTTTTTATCGCGCATTAACTGTGAAAGGATTTTCTTTTTCAGCCTATAAGCAAGTCTTCTGAAAATATGTCAATAATAATTTTAATTTAAAGATGATATTGCCAGTGCATTAATTCAGAAAAAGCATGTAGGAAAGATTCTAAACGAATTTTGAATAAAAATATATTGTCTTTGACATTGCTATGGACGAATAATTTTTGTTGCTATTATGTAATATTTGTTGTTTATCTAGAGAAGTTTCAGAAGCGCATTTTTTTTTAAATATTTTGAAAACAATTTGAGAGATTGGGAGTCGTATATGAGCCCAGACAAATTATCGTTCTTTAGTTTTTCTGCCGACTTCTGTACTCGGTACTCAATTCGAGTGTATGTTTTTTTTATGTGTTACCTCATAACTTTGTAATGCGCGAACCGATTTCGATGACTCTTTTTTTATATGAAAGCTGATAGTTCTCGTGTGGTCCCATATGAATTTGATCAAGGTCAGACCAATGGTTATTGAGTTATTCTTAAATAACCTATATTGAAGTCGCTTATATTGAAGTCGGCTGTACAAAATTTTTAATTTTAAATTATTACAATACCTTCTTACTGAAAGTGCTTTATTAACACCAAATGGCTTATTATACAATCCAAGAATGTAACTTCCTTTAGTTAAATATTTATTGGCCAATACTTACAAGATGCCAAACTTTCTTACTTCTTGCTTCTAATATGTGTTTGAAGAATCTTTTTCATCCACAGAATCCGAAGGCTACGGTGCCTCGTGCAACGTAACAGCACAGTGCACACAAGTTCTGGGCACGTACAGTAACTGCACAGCTGGGAGCTGTGAGTGCAGTCCATCTTATCATTACAAAGATGGTAGTTGCTGGCCGATTACTGGTAAATATTTATAATACATCTCCCTCTATATGTAATACAGCTCAGATATATAACTAGGTGCAATTTAATATAATACTTCAATGTAACTCAACTCCGAATTTTGGGAATCGTGGGTTCAAATCCCGCACGCAACAAGTATTTGTATGGTCTACAAATAATTGTTCCGGGTCTGAATATTTGTCCTTATGCAATTTATGTTTGTAAACTGCCTCCACGATACACGAGAAATGTACGGAATCACATCTAAATCGAGCATAATTAGGTCCCTCGAGTCGGACAACGATATTACTTCACTTTGGCGATCGTCACGCGTTTGGCATGTGTCCCACCAATCGCAACAGATCACTATTGTATTATTAGCGCTTATAAGCCCACCCATGCCTTGTTTTAGTTTAATGGGTAAAGCCAATATAATTGCAGTCTGCGACGCCTTTTATATTAGTCCTCTGCAAGTGAAAACGCACTTGTACTCTTTTTGAAGTTAGTTTCTTTGAAGTTAGTCAAGGGTGTCCACGGGCTTAAGTAGCAACATCGGCAGCAATAAAAGGTGACAGATCTCATGAAGTATCTCTTGGAGTACAGACCTTATTGTATACTCATATTCATACTCTCAAAGCGGTTTCGCTAATAAACAAACAAAAACTTCCACAGGGGTGCGTTCTTGGTCCGTCTTTATTTCTAATACACAATTTAATTAAAAGTCTATGTTACAATGTTCAATCGAATACACTATTAATGTAAATATTTTCAGGCCTTTTTGAAGTTTGTAGCCGTAGTAGCGAGTGCTTCCTGTCAAATATGACTGATAGAGTGGTGTGCAGGAACGGTCTTTGTCAGTGCGATTTCAAATTCCCGTATTCTGAAGAGTTACAGACATGTAGTAAGTAGAAATAGAAAGGTTTTTTTTTAAGGATAGAATGGCAAACGAGAACACTGTCCACCTGATGGTAAGTGGTTGCTGTGACCCATTGACATCTACATATATTCTCAATAAAGAATCAAAATGCAGATGCGTTGTCACCCGTGAGGACTAAGATGGAATGCCTCTTTGCCAGTAAAAAGGGTCTTCGGTTCTCTACACCCACCATACAAAACACAGCAGTGTTAAGCTGCTATTTTACGCTGGTATTCTGTGAGAGGGTGATCCTTCCCCGGTCGAGCCGACCCATTCGTGCTACATTTATACTACTAATATAGCTGCAGCGTAGGTCTACCACGTATAAACACGTATTTGTTCAATACAAATTATAAATAATACTTATTGAAAGTCATTCTTAATTTTTCATTTTTAATTTTAAATTTTAAATTAATTTAATTCTTATGTTTAATTTACCACTGTTTCGGAAAATGCCTTTATCTTGAGAAGAACTTGCAAGAAAACCTGCGGGAATTTTTTAAATTTATTTATGAGTATTGTGTCGTAACAAAGGATTAAGCGGATATTTTAGTAAAATTACTCTCGATAGATTGCAACATAATCAGAAGTAAACTTTCAGAGGTAGACTTTTAGTTACTGCTAAGGAAGAAGAAGGAATCTTGACTTGAATCTCAGATGGATCGACATGCCGTGCAGCGGAGTTCAAACAATATCCACCCCATAGCATCGTCCTTCCCCGGTTAAGCCGACCCATTCGTGCTACAACTATATTACTAATATAGCTGCAGCATGGCTCTACCACGTAAAAAAAAGTGTGGCTATATCTATGTTAAAATCTTATAAATAAAATCCTTTTCTTCAGGAGTATGTCTGGATAGTCACCATCCTCTCACCTATTTATGCTGCCAAATAGCAGCACCTGCACTACTGTGTTCCAATCTGAAGGTTATAGAGAGTCAGTATAACTGCAGGCTGTAAGGAATCCTATCTCAGTCTCAAGAGGAGACAGCGCATCTGTAGCTTTCTTTGTGTGAAGTTGGCTGCAGGTGTCATTGAACTGTAGTTACCACTTACCATCAGATGGACTTAGATTGTTCGCGTCACTTCAGTTTTATAAAAAAACTTTAACTGGCCCCGCTACTTCGCTCGCGTGTAATTTACTACGATTTCATGGGTTTTATTTTTGCGCGGAATTCTAATTATTTTTTTAAAATAAAAGTATTCTAAGTTACTCCTTATAACATCAGCTATCTGCCAGTGAAAGTCCTGTTAAAATCGGTCCAGCCGTTTCGGAGATTAGCCGAAACAAACAGACAGGCAAAAATTTTAAAAATTGTGTTTTGTTATTAGTACCGTATATACTTTCATATGCATTTAGTAAAAAGCTGTTTTTTTAACATTACAAACAGACACTCCAATTTTATTTATTTGTTTAGGTTACGCTTGTATATTGTGAAAGCGTAGCCTTTCCCAATAGATTCAACCCATCCGTGCTCTACCATTCCAATAATGCTGTATTTTGATTTATCAATTTTCTGTTACAGCTTCTTCAGCTTCGAGAACAGCAATCAGTTTCTTAACAATCGCTACTTATTTAATGTATTACATTACCAGTTAACACTGACAGTTTTATTTAAATTTAATTTTTAATAATATAGAGAAATAATTTATTGTATAAATTCATTTTTTTATTGAGTTCTGGTCTTTTTATTTGGGAAAAGTGATAATTCCATTGACATATGTGTCTGAGACGTAGCCCTTCACTGCTGGCCGTATGAGGAAGCTCAAGGTCGCTCAGCGAGCTATGGAATGGGCTATGCTCGGAGTTTCTCTGCGTAATAAACTTGGAAATGAGGATATCCGCAGTAGAACCAGAGTAGCCGATATTGCCCAACGAATTAAAAGCTGAAGTAGCTATGTCCACCATATAGCTCGAAGAACTGACAACCGATGGGGAAGAAAGGTTTTTAAGAGTAGTCTTGTACCGGTAAGTGAAGTTCAGGGGCAGCTCCTCATGAGATACAGTGACGACCTTGTAAGAGATGCAGGAATTCGATAGGTGTGGTGACTTTGTGGCATTCCTAGTGTATGTTCAGCAGTGGAGATGTGAATAGCTGTAATGACGATGATGACGATCTATTAAGCTCTTTTATTAATTTAATTTACTCATAACAATGGTTGCCTTATGGTGGCGAGGTAAGAGAGTACATCACAACGTTTTTTTAGAATAAGAGTGACAAAACGAGCACACAGTCCACCTAGTAGTAAGTGTATGCTTGTGGCCCATAGACATCTACATCAATTCTCGATTAAGAATCAAAATGCAGATGCATTGTCTCACCAGAGCGCTATGGAATGCCTCGTATCCGTAAAGAGGGTCTCCGGTTCTCTACACTCAGTCATTCAGTGTAGAGCACTCACTATACGAAACACAGCAGTATTACGCTGCTATTTTGTGGTATTATTGGTGGTAATCTGTGAGTACGTGGTCCTTCTCTAGTTGATCTGCCCCATTCGTGCTACAACCATAATATAGCTGGGATAAAATATCAATAAAATCTGATGGGTTCTGATTGATGTCGGTATATCCATCGGTAGCGCCAAGCAAAATACTGATATCAACGACGGGCGGAAACATAAAAGGAGCTAGGCATCTGGTACTGGATCGTGAATCCAAGGTATCGTGAACCCGTCAGTAAATCTTTATAGCCTAATGAGGAAGAGCACTCAATTATTGGCTCAGTTTAAGACTGAAAGATATTTAAGAGTAATAATGTCCTCCATACCGAATTACGGTCACGGCGTCCAGCCTCAACGGACACTAGCCATCTGAACAGGACAGGTTTATAGTGCTCGAGCAAACACAAATGCACTCTCTACTCCCTCACTCTCATGGTTTGATGAGACTTTAACCCGACACGACTGGAGAAAGATCAGGTGCAGGAGCAACAGCTTTACGTGCTTTCCGAGGCACGGTGGTGAGACACCGCCAACTTCCTGACTCAGGGCAGCTACGGAGAATTTGTTGATGGAAAAACTCAATAACTGGGAAACCTTATGATCAGCAGTCGCGTTTTACATCCTCTAGAGTCTAGAACAACGATATTTCTCATCTAAGCCCAAATGAATAATTTGTTTAAATAAAAAATGCTTGAGTGTCGTGGAACACTCGGTTGGAACGAAGTTCCTTGCGTAGTATATTATTATTAATAAACGTAGGTATTATATTATTGTTTAACAAATACAAATAAATGAATTACTAGCGTCTACTAAAATGAAGCGTCATTTGAAATAAAATAATATTTCTTTCATGGCAAGATAAGAAAAAGTGCGAGGGAGATGGATATTATTCTATCTCACTTCCTTATTTCATCGCCAAGGCCGTCTATACTTGGTCTACACTATGACACAAGGGGTAGTGACGAAAAAATCTTACACATTTTGTCGCCTAACTCCCATCCGCCAAACCCGTACCGTCCGATAAGGAACTTTGTTCCAAAAAACTAATGGTCGTAAACTATTGTGTTTATGGCCGTAGCTCTTTACTTAGAGCCGTGGTAGCTCGCTATAAATTGAACAGTACACAAGCAATCTGAATTCGATAAACGTCGGTAACAATGAGGGCTAATAATCTTACGCTCACCAGATGTCACTAGTTGGGCCTGAGCTTAAGTTTTTTGTTACATAATGTAATTTAATTGAGAAGTTAGTTTTAAATAAGACTTTATTGCTTTCTAGAGTATTATATTAATTTTTTTGCACATTTTTAACTGCTTTTGAAGTAAAAACTGGTTTAGAATGTTTGTGATTTGAAAGTAGATGATACGAAAAAACGACACTAAAAAAAGACAATCTATAGGAAATATCCTGCGAGAGAATGAGATAGAATACAGTGTAGTAAGCGACAGTAGCCTAATGATAGGGTGCGGATCGCAAACTCGAAAGGTTGTGGGTTCGCCATTCGACTACTGTCGTAACTACTCCTAACACAGCATTTTCAGCTTACCAGTAGTGGTTAAAGGGAATATTAGTAATGTTCATAACATTGCTGATATTATATTTCATTTCATTTGAAGGAGAAGTGAACTTCTCCCGCGTGTGAAGTTCACTTCAAAGCATGTGTGCTTTTTTTTTTTAATTTTTCCACTTTTAGGAATATCCGTAGTTATGTTTAATTCCTAACCTACTTAATATAAAATATAACTAAAATATTACAAAAAGAAACATTAATACTTTCATTTTTCTACCAAATTAACAACCCCGCTATAAAATCTGTTAAATATTCCAATTCGGTTTTTTATCGGTTAAGGGTGATAAAGGAGCACACAGTCCACCTGATGGTAAGTGGTTGCTGTGGCCCATAAACATCTACATCTATCCTCGATTACAAATCAAAATGTAGATGCGTTGTCACCCGTGAGGACTAAGATGGAATGCCTTATTTCCAGTAAAAGGGGTCTTCGGTCCTCTACACTCAACATACGAAACACAGCAACGTTTCATCGTCGTCAGCGATTTTTTTATAGGATCGAGTGACAAACGAACACACAGTCCACCTGATGGTAAGTGGTTGCTGTGGCGCATAGACATCTACATCTATCCTCGTTTGCACATCAAAATGCAGATGCGTTGTCACTCTTAAGAGCTAAGATGGAAAGCCTCTTATCCAGTAAAAAGGATCTCCGGTTCTCTACACTCACCATACGAAACACAACAGTGTTAAGCTGCTATTTTACGCTGGTATTCTGTGAGAGCGTGGTCCTTCCTCGGTCGAGCCGACCCCTTCGTGCTACAACTATACTACTAATATAGCTGTAGCATGGCTCTACCACGTATAAAAAGTGTTCCAAAGTGGCGCCGCCCAGGTGGCAGAAAAAGTCATCATCAAATGGTTGACTGCAATTTTAGTACGTACTCGGCGGTGAAGGAAAACGTCGTGAGGAAAACTGCTTGTCTGAAAATTTTAAAAAACATTCAAATACATAATCAAGTCTGCCAACACGCATTGGGGTAGCGCGGCGAACATTTTCGTACCGTAAAACACTCCCAGAAATGACAGAAGGCCTGTGCCCAGCAGTGAGACGTATATAGGCTGTAACTTTACTTTTTTAACTTAAGGTATTTTACTTAGACAAACTGTTAGCTTTTATTAGTTAAATAAAATTGTAAGCGATTTGGAACAACGTAGTTTCACAGCGTTAATTTATTACCTTATTACATGTTTTATAAATTCTAAACTCAACGCGAACAATGCCGCGATAACGGTTTGGTGTAGTGTTGCCCAAATGCAAGAACAAGACGAGACTTAGCCAGTCTTGGTCTTGGTCTTGCGCCAATACACCTGGTCTTGTTCTTGTTCTTGGTCTTGCAGCAACAGTCTCGCAAGTCTCGCAAGCCTATTGCTATTTATTAAACGTTACTTTAGATCTTAGAACAACTTAACACAGCAGGCACATTTTGAGCTTGAATTAACATAGCCATAGAAAGACCAACCAAATTAATAAATGTCTAAACATTTAATGAGAAATTCGAAAAATCAACTAATACCGGGTGGGGTTTGAACCCACGACCTAAGCGATCCGTGCCGATGCTCTAACCAACTGAGCTGTCTACCATGTCTCACGGCCACGGGAGTTAGTCTGTTTCTTAATAAACGTTTACATTTAATAAGCTTACATGTGCTAAAACTTAGTCAAAACATAAAAAACAAATTAATGACATTAACTTGACTGTATTTTAAAGAACATTATCTGTCTAGAAAGAGATTGATGGAACCTCACTATATATGAAATGGAATAAAAGAGTTATACAATTTACCATTTATTTAAATAAAAAAATAAAATACAATACAAATTAAATTACATAACAGTACACAATAGCTTTGACATTACTGTTACTTTATATTAATTCTTTTGACCAAGAATTAATACAAAGTAACCATCTGGCTGACTCATCACTTAACCTATTTCTATGTTTTCTAATTACTAATGATGCTTTGGAAATTAATCTCTCAGCAGGTACTGAAGTTGCACGTATTGAAAGAAAATCACGGGCCATCTTCGATAAAGTCGGATATTCTGTCTCATGCGTCCTCCACCACTCTCCACTTAGGTACTCCTCCAACTCGTCTATAACTAAGCCTTGATGAAAAGATCCAGATCCAGATGACGTCGAGGGACATGCATACAGTTTCTCAAAGTCTATTACGTATTTATCTTCATCATATTCACATACTTTCTTTTCATTTCTTGGTGATTCTAGAGATGTATTCACTGAGTGTAGACTTTTATATTCTTTATAAAGTTCATTAAATTTGCGCAGGCTTTCAGTTTTAATTTGCTTCCCCATAATGTCATGTCAAAAGTCTGAGTTTTATGCCTTGGGTCTAAAATTAAAGAGGTACAATAAATCCAGTTGCTCTTTTTATAATGTTTAAGCATTTTGTCTCGAGCTGCTTGAAAACCTAGAATGAGCCTTTCATCCACTTCGGATCGATTAGGTTTCTCATCTAATTGTTTTACCATGGATTCAATTTTATCGAGCAAGAGATTGAATGATACAATGACTAGCGGTAATGTAACATATTTTTCTCCACCAAGTTTCGTTGATAGAAGTTTAAAGTTTATTAGAAACTTATGTATTTTTTCGAGTATTTGCCATTCACTATCTGTGATTTGAAAATCATTCAATTCGGTGACAGAAGTGCAGAATATGTTAATGCCAGTTCTCACTTTTAAACCAAATCCAATCATATCATGTGTGGAATTCCATCTCGTTGGACAGTCGAGTATGGGGTTCAGATTTAATGGCACGCCAGCTGCTTCACAAGCAGACTGAAACTTCCTCGTCAATATCTCACTTCTTTTTTTTTACTGGAAATACTGCGTAATTTTGTTATAGCTGTACGTGAGTCAGCAATATTTGGCGCATATTCTTCATCTTCCTCAGTTTCGTCTTCATTGTCTTCATACTACTGTTCTTGTCCCTTATTGTCAGTTTCACTGTGTAATGCTAAGGTCTTTAATAAATCTTGTACACCAAGGTTCAAAATGTGAGCAAAGCACCGGAAATGTTGATTGTCTGAATCAAAGTGTGGCAGCTGTTTGTCCAATTCATGCATAAATTTGGTATTTGCAGTTGCGTTGTCGACCGTGATACCCTGTATTTTATCAATTATGTCATATTCCAATAAACATTCGTGAAAAATCGTTGCAATATCTTCCCCAGTATGTCGAACGCGTGATGGTATAAAATCAAGGACTACAGATCGATACTTCCATTCGTTGTCTATATAATGAATAGTGACCCCGTAGTAACTCCTACCAGCAATTGACGTCCATCCATCAATGGTAAATAACATTTTAGATGAAAATTGTTGTAGTCGTTTCTTAAGATTCAATTGAAGCTCTTCAAACCGTTCTATGACCTTCCTTCTAAGTGTGGACCTTTTAAGAAACACCATATTTGGGCAAATTGATCAAAAATATACTTGTGTAGCTTCGTCATCGAAAAATGAGAAGGGAAGATATTTTTTAACCATCCAATCAACTGTAGCTGTCGTGATGTTGTCACTGCTATTTTCAGACTGAAATAAAACAGTAAATCATGCGTTTCGCCAATTATAAAAAAAATGAAAATATAAGTGAATTATAAATACATATTTAACACTATAATCATAACTAACTAACTATAATATATATATATATATATATATATATATATATATATATATATATATATATATATATATATATATATTTATATACAATATGTAACGTAATTATCGCACACCCTCAGACACCCCAATTAGTATATTATGTTATAATCATTGTTACGGCCTACGGTTGCTCCCTTAAAGGATCCAATCCCCTGGGGCCCATCAGCAGAAGACTTCCCGAGCAAACGTAGGTCGGGCCTCCTAAGGCCACGTGGAATCTCTCTAATTACACTAAAATATATGGGGGAGCGTTATACTACGGCCAGTCGACCGGAAGGAATTTGGCGGAGTTCACTTACCTCTATACAAGGCGACTGGTCCCTCCGGAGTCGGTCAGGTCGCATGTGGTTGTGTAGTGCAAGGGAAAGAATGGTGATGTGGTGTGTATCTGGGTGTGACTGATGGTGATTGAACCTAGACCTTAGCCGTCGGCAGCAGCCCGAGCGTCGACGCCGCTCCAACTTGAGGGGGCCTTTCGAGGTTATCCACAGTCACTTTCTTGGTTCACCACGATGACAGTCACTTAACTCTATCGTACTCTTAACTAGCTTACAGAAGCCACTAACTATCGCGGGGTATAAGGTTACCGCACAAAACACGCCCGGAGTTTCTGGGTCAAAGGTCACTACCGTTTCGCGTAGCAATAGTTAATTCTAGAATCAGAGGCCGCACTAGCTTATATTGTCGAATGCACTTATACAGATTCTGAGTCGGACCCAATAAGTCCCGGGAAAGGCTATCCAAACAGGGAATGCGCGTTATAATTCCTAGACAGGATATTTACTAGACGCCCTAACTATTCCGCGGTTCCCGCACAAAATTAACAGGGTGCAAACATTAGCGCATCTGGCCGATGACAGACTCGCTTGCGACCCGCGCGCCACTCTGCCACGCTCGGAAGAACTTCAGACCGGAATCGCGCCGAGCCGAGTGACATCTGGTGTCGATTCCGACAACAGAGTTTTGCGCGAACAAACCCCCGTCCCGGACATAAGGATTTAGGTCCGCGAGCAAACCGGTCAGCGGGACAAGGTCGAGACTGCAAGTTGCAAGACCGAATCTACAACCAAACTAGGCCACCTTAGGCGATCCATTAGGTCTTGCAACCCTAATCAACGCCTCAAAGATATCCCTAATGTGGCAAGCCGGAGGGTCAGCCTCCACTGGATGCCCCTCCTGGGCATCGCAGCACTTTAATAAGTCCTGTACTGGACAGAAGTCCGACGACCTCTTTCAAACACCTATCTGTGCCCCTATGATTAGTTCCGCAATCCGACCGGATCAGCTCTGCAAACAGCGACGCTACACGAAGCTGCCCCGACAAATTTTGTGCCAGCAGTTGCTTCAGTGCAGAGCGCACCAACAAATTCCACATGAACGTCGTCTGTGGAGAGCCAAACGAAACGCACAGATAGTCCCTAGTATGAATTTTCAACAAGTAGGCCTAGCCAGGCCACCCACCATATTATCATTTACTAAAATAGCGCGGCAGCTGATTTCAATCAGATAATCTCCAAAACTAGCTAGCCTGTTAGGCAAGTAGTCCTATGCTCATATTTCAACTAATTTTTCAAAAGCATCAATGTTCAACTACAGAATTAATTCAACCAAATTAATCACCGATGCGCATAGGTCAACTTGCAAATTAAACAAAACAATAACGTAAGGGACAGACCTACTTCTTCGCAAAGCAAAATGATTAAACACTATCATAAACATAAACATAATTTTTCAAATAGTGCGCCATTCCATTTCAGATGAATTCAAATTTTCCTTTCAGCAAACAAACGCAACAATCAAATACAGTGATTAAATATATGTACAAAACACATGCAGTAGCATTTAAAGGAGTAGATTAAATTCAATTCTTTTAATTTAAACCGCTACAAATAGGAAAATTTCGCGGAAAGCCCAAAGCAATTTTTAATTTTAATTCAAGTATTTTTTGACTAAGTGCTCGACCAAACCAAATCTAATACCCCTTGACAACGTGATTCAACGCTCCAGAGGGGGCCCTAATCTTCCCACCACTAAGGGGAGGCCACATGGCGTGAACCCGAGATAAATAGAGCACAACCTTTAACAGTTGCCACTCGGGTTGTACGCCTTCACTGAGGCCGTCGGCAACAGAACATTTTGACAAGTGGACTGTTGACGGCTTAAGGCTCAGTGGAGGCGGCCGTGGTGGGAACTAGGCAGCAGCTAGACAGGGCCGCCTCCATCAAATGGGGAACAGTGGTACACCAGTCGCGGCCACTCAGCTAACGGAAGTGAGAAGGGTCCAGCGGACCGATGAGTGGCCGTGAAGTTCCTCTCCACACGCTGAGGGGGGGTGATGACACCCCCGCCCCTGGGGGAATTACCCCCCAACTGCTTGGGGGAGGGGCCCCTTTCAAACTTAGGGGCCTGGTGGCTGGCCGGCGAGCGCCGATTGTCGCCCAGCAGAGGGCGTGGCTGAGCGCCCCCGCCCGTGGGGGTCGAGGGCCTGGCAGAGCCCCGAGAGGAGACGCCGTTGGCACCCAGGCACAAAACGGCATGGTGATTGCCCTGGCAATGCAGACAGGGCCGTCGATGCGGACAGTCTCGCTGGAGGTGCCCTCCCAGACATGACCAGCACCAGCGGCGCTCCTTGGCGATAGTTCGCCTCGCAGGAACCGGCTTACCTAATAATTTCGGGCACAACGTTACCCGGTGATCAGATGCTCGACAATAGGAGCAGGGGGAGGTTGACGACGACTTGCCTGGCGGGTTCAGCCTCTCACTGGGCACGTCTCGTAAGTCGTCAACGGTGCCCGCCGCGTTCTCGATCTGCCGGCACTGCTCCTCTAAAAACCGCAGCAGGTCATAGAAGGGCGGAATATAGGAGGCCTCGTCCCCGCCGTACCTCTCCTCAAAATGGATTCGAAGGTCGAGAGGTAGACGGGACAGCACTATGCGGAACAACAAAAAGGCCCATTCGCCCACTGGTAAACCCAGCCGCCTCAACGTATTACAGGCCACCAAGACTTGATCCAACAGGTCCGGACGCAGTCTGGCCCGGTCACTAAGCAGCGGGAGGCTTAGAAGCTGCTTAACATGCTCGTCTGCAATTCGCCGGACGTTGGCGTATCTTCTCGCTAGGAGGTCCCGAGCAGTCTGGTAGGCGTCGTCCGACAATTTCAAGTGGCCGACGACGCCCAGGGCCTCCCCCTCCAGTGAGGCCAGGAGGTACGCCATCTTTTGTCTCGGGGTCAAGTCACTCCGGGCGTCCACTAGGCTGTCGAAAAGACCAACGAAGGTCAGCCATTCGGAAAGGACCCCGGAGAACTTTGGCAGGTCCAGAGTTGGGAGTCGTCCCAACAGCTCCGGCTGAAGCTGCTTCAGAGAGGACTCGGGCAGGTTACTCATCCGAGCTTCACGCGCCTCCTCGGCATACCTGCCTTCAGCCTCGATCAACTCGTCCGTGAGCCACAAGAACTGCTCATAGTCCGCAAAGCAAGAGTCCAGGACTCCCTTCTCCACATCCGAATCCTCGAGCTCAGCGTAAGCCTCCTCCACTGCGGCCCTTCGAGCATCCACCTGCTCGAACCGCTTCATCAAGTTATGGACCCTATCCGGTCGACCTATCAAAGCATGGGCGCTTGTGGCCCAGCGTAGCTCAGTCCGCAAACAACGGATCAGTAGCTTGGGCGATGTCATCACTATTAAATACAAATTACGACGCGGCTCGAGCACAAATTACAAAGATAACAAATAAAAAATATACCAAAAAATTAACAGTTAATAAATGCAGTTCCTATCAAATAGCGTTGAATAGAAATTACACAAATACGAATTACTACGTATCAACCAAATACAAGTTAGCACCAAAGAAAAGACACAAATCAAATTAACAATAACAAATACTAGTGCGACCAAATCAAGTTAAATTCAAATGGCGTAAAAATCCAAATTACTACTCTTTAGTTCAAATATAAATTACAGTATAAACGAAGATACACATCACGGTCGATCAACAAAAATGCCTAGCTCGGAAATCGACCCTTCGATAAATAATCCACTACAACTCTCCGACAACGATAATTAACCGATTACGTAAAAATAACCATCTACCTACATGACGTATATCTCTAGAAAAACTCCCGCTTGCACAACCTAGGGCGCGGCTTTTCAAATTACCCTCTAACCACAAAAAAGGCAAGCAACAAAGCAACAAAGGAAAATAATTCTATTATTACGTACAAAAAAAAATATTTTTACGTATTACGGACGGGCGTGATTGTAGATGCAAATTAAACCAATCACACCAACGCTCCCTGCCACCAAAATTGTTTAATGTTTATCAAACACTATAGTCGGGATCGACCGGGAATCGAACCCGGAACCGCGCTCTGCTACCAGTTTGTTATGGCCTACGGTTGCTCCCTTAAAGGATCCAATCCCCTGGGGCCCATCAGCAGAAGACTTCCCGAGCAAACGTAGGTCGGGCCTCCTAAGGCCACGTGGAATCTCTCTAATTACACTAAAATATATGGGGGAGCGTTATACTACGGCCAGTCGACCGGAAGGAATTTGGCGGAGTTCACTTACCTCTATCCAAGGCGACTGGTCCCTCCGGAGTCGGTCAGGTCGCATGTGGTTGTGTAGTGCAAGGGGAAGAATGTATCTGGGTGTGACTGATGGTGATTGAACCTAGACCTTAGCCGTCGGCAGCAGCCCGAGCGTCAACGCCGCTCCAACTTGAGGGGGCCTTTCGAGGTTATCCA